TCCACAGTAGAGAAGCCTAGCACTGAACCACAGCAGAACTAGTAGGCAGAAGTGTGGCTCGCTAGTGAATGCAGTGGGAGGGCTTATCGGCACTACAGCTGGCTCCAGCCAGTATTATAAATCCTTGATTTTGATAAATATCGAGAACCAGATTTTCAAAAACTACTGAAAGCCAGGCCTACCAGATGGATCCAGGAGCTCCTCTGAGCTCCTAAGGATGGCAGCATACCCCAGCTATGCTTCAATTTCATGATGGATAAGGTTCAGAGATGCACTAATCTGCATCTCCCTCCCCGATTGATTTGGTTTCTATTAGGAATGAATCCTGAGTGCCTGGGACAGAAAATAATTATAGCATGCCCTGGAAGCCTGAAATCTCCAGCCCTTGATTAATTCACACTCATCCATATGTAAATTCAGTGTGAATGCTCTCAGCACATTTTTCTCATAAGAATTCAACAAAAGTTTAGGAAAACAGTTGTTTTAGTAAAGGAACAAATGTAACTACAGTACTGAATTAACTCTGTGAAGAGAGAAATCTTCAACTTCAGTGTTTAATTTGCACATCAGTGCGAATCTACAGGGGAGCCCAAAATCAAAACTACTACCAACACACCTTGAAATATATAAAAGGCAAGACTAGTCATTGATCACGGAGCAAAAATCTGAGTACAGGGGAATAAACTGCTATTGAACTGAATGTGCACAGATCAAGGCTGGCCACATTCACAGGACATGTGGAGGGACACACCTGGTTTTGCAGTGCGACGGCCATGCCCTCCTCATGTAATCTGGCACACGCATGCTGCACTTGAGAGCTGAACAGGGAGGGAAGAAGTCAGGGCCATCTTACACCACATACGAGATTCATGTCTCAAAGATACAGCTGACAGTTGCTGACAGTGTGTAAGAGCCATTACAGAAAACGAGGCATCTGCCTCTCATTGAAAACAGACTGTCATACACGCAGCACGTGACTTAAAATTTGTGATGGCATGCACTGGAAAAGCAGAATACAAAGGATGCAAAACTGCCTGACTCACATATGCTTCTGGTGCGAAATACTTAGGATGCAATTTACTTCACATAATAATCATATCCATTCTGTGAGATATTCTGATGCACCCCAGAATTCAAACTGAATGTTACAAACTGTATTGAATACTAAAGATTTGATTTTTACCCACACATGAATCATGTGTACAGTCGCAGTTAACATTCCTCCCTAGCCCTAAGCACCTGACATAGAAGTGGTCAATGTAGGTTCCCTGAAAGAAAAGCTGGTGAGAGGGAAGTTCCCACCTTGAATCATCTTCTGGAAGGCTCCCTTACTGTATCTATTCAGAGCTCAGAGGAAGTGTTAGGACATGTGCTACAACAGGTAGTAAGAATGCTTCCAATTAATACTAAGTTATTAAATGTAGACAGAGTGGCTAGAGCCTTTTCAAATCTAAGTAATAGCTTATTTGTTCTGAATAAGAAAAAAATGCCAATCAGAAACCCTAGCCAACACCACGGATTATTATTCTGGAGGAAGAACACTACCCTCTATATCATTAGAGTACTCGTCTACTAGAAAAGTTGATTTAGTAGAAATAAAAAGCATCTGAAACAGAAATTCTAGATGCTTTTGCTCCTTCTGGTTAAAACGTACTTAGTCAAAAAGCAAACAAAGTTGGACTCACAGCTCCTATACCATACTTCAAGCCAATAAAAATAAAGATGCCAGTTTGCAAAGGCTGTAGCAGATGATGCAAAAGCTAAGCGTGTCCTACAGTGAGAACCACAGGGCTTTACAGTCCCTGTGAATGCAGATGTCACAGCTCTACCTCACTCTTCTGGACGTGCAAGCAGTGAGCTAAGTAGAAGTGCCCTGAAAGCAAAGGCTTTCAATATGGTGACTGAACTGGTTCAAATCAAACACTTGTTCTGTTCTGTCTGGTGCACTATAAATAAATCCTGGGGAAGTTGTATTTGAAGATTTCCACAACAAGCCTTCATATAATACCACCCTGGTTTTGACTGGGGGGTAGAGTTATCAAGGGGGAGGGAGGTTTACCAACCCTCCTTCAAATTAAAGAATGGTATCTTGCTACAGTTGCCTATAGATTTTAAAATCAGGAGGCACCATATTAGCAAAGGATCATTGGCATGCACTGTAGCAGAAAACAGGAAATATAATTAAACGTACAGCTGTGAGGTAAGATCTTTGGCAGAAGACAGACAGCTTTGGGAAGAAAGTGATAAGGGCAAAGCACTATGAAGTAGCACAGTAACGTGGTCAAGAGGAAGAACAAAGCATAGGGATAGAGATGAAATGAGAGTGGAGGTGAGAGGAGCAGAAAAAGAAGCACAAAGAAAGAAAATGACAGTAAAAGAAAGAAGGCAAAGCATACAGAAAAGAAGAATGTACATAAGGAAAAACATCTCTTTTATGAGTAATAGTTCTTTAGTAAGGGCAGGAGCCACATTGTTGTGCAACAGCATATACGGTTTTCTGTATAGAAAGGAAGAGTTTATTTAAGCTTATATGCAACCTCAAAAAAAAAAAATCTGTGGGAGGAAAAAAAGAAAAAAAGAAGAGAGAGTAACATCATATTTCTTTTGACTTTTAAATTGCTTTTTAGGTCATATTTCATCCTCCCCTCCCACCCCCCAAGTATTTTCCAGGATGGAATTTTCTTCTTCCCACTCCAGGATTTGGCGTGGGTAGAGCATCACAGATGCTGCTGAACTCAGAAACCAAGAACCTGATTCATTCTTCCCTTCAATCTTTTGCTATCATTTAGACTGTGACCAAGCAAACGTCAAAGGCTGCAAGTCAGAAAGATAGTTTTACGCAGCTTGTACATTCAGTTTGTCCCAGCGTAACAGTGGTACAAGAGTAACGATAAATCCAGTTCTGAAACCCTGCTAGTATGTCAAGTATTTGTTTAAGAGTAATTACTTTTCCTGCTGTTCCAGCAGACTTATGCTCTAAGACTGCTCCGAGTTTTGACTGTATGCAGACGGCAGGTTTTCCCTAAGGAAGGACCAACAACCATTTTTCAACTTCGCCTAACAAAAAATCCTTAAAATGAAGACAACCTCGCACAATCAATCAGCAAAGCCCTTCAGTCTCACCGCCCATGTTCAACAAGTCCAGATTATTTTCTGCAAGTTCCCTTTCATTTCAGCCTCTGGTACTGTTACAATCACACTGCTGGGTATCAATTCAGTACTCAACAAGGATTCTCAGAATAAACTGCAAGGAGTCATATGACATAAAAGAAGCTGCCTCCAAGATAACTGATACAGTGTTCATATTTTTGAACGCTCAGGCCACTTTCAGTAAGAAAGATTCACTGCTTACTTCATTTTAGACTTTAAAACAAAAAAAAGCTCTAACATTTTAAAAGGTTAGACACATTTTTTACTCCCACTGTTTCTTAATAAAACACCATTTGTGTGGGAAACGAGCTTAGTGCATACTTTAAAAACAGGCAAACCATTAATTGATCCAACATGTTGGCGGTTTTAGAGAAACTCACTAGGCAAGAACAAGCGATGCATCTTAACTTTTGAAGCAGCCTGAGCTTTACTTTAAGGGTGTGTAAGTATGCTATGCTCCAACTACTTCATACTGCTTAGTATATAATCTGTGATACTTGAAGTACCAAGAAGTGTAATCTGAACAGCTATCTGAACTGTGCAGGTTATAAAGCACAGTTTTAAGAAGCTCAAGAGGTTGTGAGTTGCTTGTCTCAAAACCAATGGAAAATACTAAAATAAAAGACATCTTCCACCAATCCTACCAAAGAAACATGAATTTGCCCAAACAAACAGTTAAATCTCTTCAAGAGCCTGCACACAAGAGGTTCGAAAAGCTCTGGTTTTGCATCAGCAATATTATATAGCACTACAGTTAGGCAACAAATTGTTTTCCAGCACATCTATGCTAGCTAGTTTACCGTGGAAAGTTAAAATGTCATTAGAATAACATCCTGTTTTGCAGCCTTTCTGTGTTTCAGTTTACCCCTAACTCTGCTAAGATTCAACTGGCATGAAACAGCTGGGCATGATTAGTCACTGGATGCAAACCAAACTGAGATTTCACAATAGGTGGCATTTTAGTCTCCATGGCATAGGCTGGTGGTATAAAAGACCAGTGAGCCCGGGCAGAAAACACTGTCCCTAAATATAAATCTGGTGATCTGTTTTTAAAACAACATTATTTCAGATCAAACATTGCTACAAAAACAGTGTTTTTTGTGGGCATAACCCGAGGCTTGGGTTGTTTCCGATGACTGGATTTCTGCTTGGTTCTAGCTGACAAGCACATGTGGGGACCCAAGCACCCATGTGCTGACACTGCGAGCACAAACTCCATCAGAGCATTCACCTGGGAGAGTGAATTGCCCCCCTGCCCAATTCTGGACAAAATATCTCACGTTCTTACCAAATCAGATACTCAGCATTCCTACTTGATCCCACAGCTTTTACAGTATCATAGGCAAGACAGTGTACGCTGTGTTCCCTACTTTATTGCAGCTCCTGATAAGCCGGTACCATAAACAATATGTTTTTCCTCGTCTGGAGATCTCAATCGCACCCAATCCCACATGACACCTGCCAGAGGATCCTCAGGGCACAACAAAACATCAGTGCCCCACAGTGGGCTCAGGGTCCCATCCATTCCTCCGACTAGACTCAAACTCTGCATCATCCAAACTTTTCACCCCTGGAGCACCAGTGTGCATTGCATCTGTCCTTTGCCATGGCAGCATGGAAAGGTGCTCCACAGCCCCCCGGGGGTGGGTACCCACCGCCCGGCGAGGCCCATGGCCCACCTTGCTCCTCTGCCAGAAGGTGCAAGGCCACCTTCCCACCCAGCAGCTCCCACCCCAAGGATGCGGGACAGCAGAGCGGGCTGCCACGCACAGGAAAATGGGTCTCGTACGCCCACCCAGCACAGATCTCGGGGCGCGCCCACGGAACGCGGGCAGGGTATCGGGGCTCACCTGCGTGGGGCATGGTGATGGTCTCGTTGGCGTTGCTAGAGCCCACGTTGTAGATGACCACGGCGGAGGCGTTCTGGGCGGCGGCGTGGCGGATCTTGTCCTTGTAGGTGCAGTTGCCCCGCGGGATGAGGGCCACCCAGCTCTTGCCCGGCGCCGGGGCGTTGAAGCGGGTGCCGGGGTCGCAGGCGTAGCGGTCGGCGGG